CAGCTGCTCAAAATTACCATTTTGACAAAATGAACTGCCGACCGGCAACAAAGAATGCCGACCGGCAATATACATTGCCGATGGCAACAAAACACCAGCCGGTGGCCTCTGACCATGGCCGGTGATGTGTGGGGATGCCTCACAAGGTATTCCCTGCCCCTCCAAGGCAAAACACAAGTGTTTGGTGCAAAACCAGACACTAAGCAGTCGAGTTCGGAGATCCTGAGGCAAGGCGCGTAGCCAAGACCTCCGGGAACTCCAAACGAACACAAACATGGATGATCACCGGGTGTTCAAACGGTGATGTCCAAGTCTTGAGAACGGTCAAAAATGGGGTGTCTACATTGCTTCTCTTTTCCCTCCAAAAGTTAAGTGGTGTAAAGAGAGGAAAGGGTTAATTTAGGGTTAGTATTGGTAATATAATGGGGGGTGTAATGAGAGTTATATTTTTTTTAGTGGTGTAATGAGATGGAGGGTGTGAAGAGGTAAAGTAGTGGTGTAAGTAGAATCACCCTCTTTTTTTTTTTCAATTTTACACATGTGTGAAATTACTTTTAAGGACAAAACACTAAAATTAAATATATTTTATTATCTCTTTACACCCTTTAGTCTTCAATCCCTACTCCTCTTCTTCCTTCCTCAATGTTTATTTTCTCTTACATATCTCTATTCAAAAAGTGAGAATCATAGTGTTTTGATCATAGAAAAAAGCAATAGATAAAGAAACAGTGATAAAGAACCATCAAAAAAGTGAAATGGTGAGTTTTTTTATTTATTTGGTAAGTTTTTGTTTCGTTTTTCAGGACTGTTCTTCGACTTTTTCGGGTATTTCGAAACGGAACAAAATAAAATAGTCCCACATCACATTGCCGAACAAAAAGTATATGTCTGGTAACCAACTGCCGAATAAAAGATACATTTCCGGTAACGCAAGGCCGAATTTTTTAAATTTGTTTGACTACTCATTATCGTGTATTTTCAATTTTATTTTTTTGCTTTGAATGATTATGCTTCTACTTATTACAACAATGCAAGTACTGCATTATTAGTGGACTTTAGTCATGAATTAATTACAAACGAGGTTTGTTAAGTTTTTTTATGAATACAATTTTTTCTTATTTTTAATTTATGTTGAGTTTTATTAATAATTTGACATATAAATATATTTATTATCTTTAGATTTTTAGTAGTCATCAAGTATTAATTAAATGGGCTTCTGATGTTGGGAAGAATATTAGATTTGTCATTGTTATAAATACATCATATGTGGGAGGTAATGGCAGAAAACCACTACTTACACTTGAACTGTATTCGAATGTAGTGCACTATGTGCAATTATTTGATTCACAGGAAAAGGGTTGATGACATTATCTCTATCTTATCCTACTTCGAACCTGGCCCTGGATTTAGTCATTGGATGATTATGCCCGACATAGGCCATTCGATAGCATCATACTACCGAGTCATTCTTTATCATTTATCCATGCAACAGAGCTTGATGTTTCTACCACTTAGATCAATACCGATTGCAACACTTGATTGAAGAGCTATCTGCATAGGGTTTATAAATGAAAACCATTTCGCGCAGGTATAAACTACTGAGCCTGCTTAGATTATTACCATGTCTTATTTTATAATTCTACTTATTGATGTCTTTGTTATAGGTTTATCTACAACTTGGTCATCCAGTACCTTCGATAGCAAATAATTAGATCTGTTTTCATCACCCATGTGCTAGTGAATGAAAGAAAGCTTACACCACCCGTATTCATCAATTTCGTATGCTTGTCAGCCTTGACGTAGTAACTACTGAAACTATCGATGTAAACGAATTGTGATAACATGTTTGATTAATAGATGCAACCAATAACAGATTTTATGGATGCTTTTATGGATGTTCGTACACTTAATGTTTGTATGAATATTTTTATGGATAATTTTTATGTATGATTTTATGGATGCGAGTTTGATTTATGGATGCTTAAAGGAAAAAATAAATCTTTCAACGTACAGCGACGGGTTGCTAGACAAATCTATTATAGTTTGGCAACATAACACTAGAGTAATCTAATTGTATAGTAATGTATCACCAAACGGGCATTTCACAAGTGGCCCCGAATAAATTTTTTATTATCATCCAATCGAACAACAACATATTGCTGGGGGAAAAAAAAACTTGTCTAGCATGGCACTAGATTAATTCAAATTCATTAGCATTATATTACCGAACAAGCCCGACACAAATTTAAAAATTATTGTTTGGAAGAAAGTAGCTCTGTAAATATAGTAACAAAATGTTGAAGAAATCTAGGCTCTGTTTGGAACGATTTTGGAATAATTTTCTACCCACACATTCTAACTTCACGTTTGGATACGCCTTTCAAATTGTATTTCCACAACCAAGACAAAACTCTACAGAAAACTCTGTCTCAAGCGCGATTTTAAAAAAAAAAAATTTCAAATTTGGCCTAACCGGTCGTCCCACCGGTTGACCGGAACAGTGCAATTTTTTTTTTTTTGCAATTGACCTATATTAATTTTTATATATTCGAAAAAAATATTTTTCGAATTTTTAAATTTTTTTTATGTGTTTTAATAGAATTTTGAGTTATATGTTTGGTTATGAGTTGTAAGTTTTTGTATCAAATATCATATGTCACATCAACAATTCCCCACTCAATTCAAAACTCTTTCACCAAACAAATTTTTCACACTCAAATCATAATTCCAAAACTCACAAACTCAAAATGCAACTCCTACTCTCAAATCATAGTTAGAAAGCTCTACCAAACGCAACCCTATTTTTTCCGGCAACATAACATCGGAAGAATATAAATTGTTTAGCACTGTGTGCCCGAACATGTACTTCGCTATGGATGCCACTCACTATCTTCCCTGCGTCTTTATCTTTCCCTCTGTTGTGTCTTTCTCTGTTTCCTTATTTTCCCTCAAAAAACTATTGATGTAAAGAGATGAAAGAGTTTTGAAGAATCTTATTTTAGAGTTAATTTTGGTAATATAATAGGTGTAATGAGAATCACATTTTTTTTTTTTTTAGTGATATAATGAGATGGAAGGTATAATGAGATGTAAGTAGAATCACTCAAATATAATTGCCATATACAAACTTATTAAGGTAAATTACACTTTACCCCTTCAACTATTATTTTGTATTACTTTACTTCTCTCAACTAAAAATTGTAACAATTAACCCTCCTCATTTATTAAAAAATTTCAATTTGGGCCTTTTTCATCAATTGGATAAATTACACTTTACCTTCTTAAACTATCAAATCATATCAATTTATCCCCTTGAACTATCACTTAACATCAATTTCAATTTAGATTTTTTTTTATTTCATTACTAAATTAATTTTTAGTTTGTTAGAAAAAAAAAATTGAAAACCAAATAACGAAAATATTTATGACAAAATTTTAAAAAAATCTTAAGACATGAAATATAAAAATGTACTAGTATTTTGTTTTATGTTTTTTTATTTTTTCGTCTTTAGTGATTTTTCAAAAACAAAAAATCACAAATATTTAACTTTTAGGTGCGTCTAAAAATTAAATTTTTTTACTAAAATATAATAATAAAAAAAAGGACTAAAAACAAAAAATATGAAAATTTATTTAAAAAAAACTTAAAATTTGTATTTTAAATTAAAAATCAAACATTTTTTTTTAATTGAGGGGGCAGAGTAACATTGAATGATAATTTAAAGGGGCAAAGTGTAATTTACTCCAATAGTTAAAAAGACATTTTCATGATTAAGGTCTAAATTGAAAAGAATCAATAGATGAGGGGAGGTTAAATGTTATAATTTTTAATTCAAGGGTAAATTACATTTCCCTCTCCTGAGGTTTCTGACAAATACAGGGACCTTCTCTGTGATTTGAATAATTACAGTAACCTCCCCTGCTTTACCTAACAATGTCAAAATTCCCCCTTTTGTCAAATTGTTCCAAACGGTGTTACTTTTTATATAGTAAATTACCTTATTGTCCTTCCTTTTAAAATATTAAAAAATATTTTTGGATTAGAGGACAGTTTGAAAGAAACAAACAGTGTTCGGAATAGTATTTTTAGATTTATTTTTTTTAAATATTAAAAAATGTTTAAAAAAAATTATTTTTTTAGTTTAAATATATAATTTTTATTTAAATATTTTATTTTATTTTGTAAATATTTTAATTTTTTTAATTTTAATATTTTAAACTCAAAACACAACTTTACACTCAAATCGTAACCAAACACATAATTCAAAACTCAATTCAAAAATTATTTTCAAACTTCATAACCAAACACATAACCCGA